AAAAATATTATAAAATAATTAAAAACTTTAAAGAAACAATTCGCAGACTTACTGCATCCAACCGATTCAATTTTTATTTTTATTTTCTTTTGTTTTATTTTTCTTTTCTTATTGTTTACACTAGAAAATAAGATATTATTAAAATGGGTTGTTGTAAGTGATTGGAAAAAAATATATGTAAACATTTGTGCTTTTGCAAAGTTGAGAATGTACGAGTATAATGATCTCTACTAATTAAGCCTTTAACTAGATGGGTAAGTATTGGAGAGTAAATTTATAGAAATATCGTTACTATTGTTAGCATGTTATAATTCAAGTTTTGTTGTACTAAGATAGAAAATTGATTATTGGTGCATTATATCGTCTGTGAATTATTAGAGATGGAAAATATGGTGGTTGAAATGTTAGTTGGCATCAAGAATTAAGAACTTGATTATAAATTTGGGTGAATTTTTTTGGTCAAGGTTAAACACATAATAGTGTGGGTATAGTTAGTTCCTCAACCTTACTGTGAATATACATAGTTGAATAGATTCCATTGATTCGAAGCTCAACGGAAAGGGAAGGCTCAAGTCCCGAAGTGATTATTCGATTGGCTAAGGCAAGTGGATTTCTAAACCCTTGTTAAGAGTATGAAATTTGTGTTTTTCCTTGTGTGATGTTGAGAATGACTTGGAGACTTGTTGCTTATTTTTTGGTGTTGTATTCCTTGTTCTAAATTGTGCTTTGTTATCAAAATGGTTATCTCCTCGTTTCGTTTGAGCATGTCATTTGTATTGTATCTGAGACATGGTTGTGGTAAGAGGATGTACCATTTCAAGGGTCTTGTCGCGTGCCGTGATGGATATTATATTTCGATGGACGTATCATGTGGCGTGAAGGTTACTTTTATCGAGAGTCGTGTTATGCGCCGCAATAGATGCATGGACAGATATGTCCCCCATGGGTCCCAATCTGAGAGACAGCAGGTGTGTATCGTTAGGGAAGAGATGCATCAGTTTACTTGACATTGAATCTCATGGAATTACACATTTTTATTATTGATGAACTTGAATACGTGTTTTACTGATCTTGTGTGTGGATCTCTGTGAAAATTGGGGGTCAAGTCGCACTAGTGGTTATTCTAATAGAGGATGAGCAGCATAGGTATGAGAGATTTCAAGAGATGGACCCTCCTTAGTTTCAGGGTGGGGAGAGTGAGGACGCTCATGAGTTTCTAACTACATGCCAAGAGTTACTAGAGGTAATTGGATTAGCTGAGTCACATGGGGTTCGATATGCTACACTCCAGCTTCGTAGGCCAGCGAGAGTGTGGTGGAGGACTTATTCGAGGGTTTTACCAATTGGATCTCCTCCAGTGACTTGGGAGCATTCTTCTAGTGCATTCCATGATCATTTTATCCCTTAGAGCGTGAGAGAGGATATTTGCTTGAGGTTTGAGAGTCTTAGATAGGATAGTTTATCAGTCACAGAGTATGAGCCGCATTTTTGCCAGTTGTCTAGGCATGTGTTGGCCATTATTCCAGATGAGACAGAGAGGATCCACAGATTTGTGAGGGGATTGACTTTTTCTATCATGTCAGCAGTATATTGGGAATCTAGAGAAGGGGATTCTTTCCAGTCCATTGTGAGCACCGCCAAAGATGTGGAATTGATGGAGAGAGAAAGGAGTTTGGGGACCCTAAAATGACTCGTACATCAGGTTTGTTTCATGAGTGAGTGGTTTCTTTCAACAGCGAGGACTTATTCATGCATCTATCCCGACATTTTAGGGTGGTCAGACATATAGGGGTTCTTATAGCCCGGATCAGGGTTCGTACAATTCACAGCAGTTACCTACATGGAAACGCAATGGGTTTTCAAGGTCCAGAGCAATTCCCAGGTCAAAGATTTTGTTTTACTTGTGGAGATCCCGATCACCTGATGCTGCAGTGTACTTCTCAAAGGGGTCATGGTGGGCCTCGACCTAATTTTTCATTTCAGACGAGACCACCAGCACCATAGGGTAGAGACCGTGGAAGACTTCAGTTAGTTAGAGTTTATAGAGTTTCTAGTAGTGGTGATGCAACTCAGCAAAGTTGGGGTAGAGGTACCACCCAGGCAAGAGGTAGACGAGGGGGCCACTATTATGCTTTCCACGGAGACTTGAATCGGACACCTCTGATGTTGTTATCACAGTATCATCCTAGTATTTCGTCGACCTGTGTCTATACTGTTTGATCCAGGGTCTACATTCTCGTATGTGTCTACCTATTTTGTTGTTGAATTTTATATGATATGTGATAACATGATTGTACCTATTCGTGTTTCTACACCCGTGGGTAAGCCCTTAGTGCTGGATCGAGTGTATCGATCTTGTATTATTTCTTTGGCTAGATATGACACTTGTGTAGACTTATTAATTCTGGAGATGATAGACTTTGATGTTATCTTGGGTATGAATTGGCTTTCTCCTTATCATCATGTCCTTGATTGTAATGTTAAGACTGTGACTTTAGCTATGCGTGGTGTTCCGAGGGTTGAGTGGAATGGTGTTAGTGCTTCTTATCCTAGCAAGGTCATCTCTTTTATCCATGCTCAGAGATTGGTGGAGAGAGGGTGTTTGTCTTACTTAGATTTTCTTCGGGATACTAGCATTGAACCACCTCCCATGGACTCTGTTCCCGTGGCTTAGGAGTTTCCCGATGTATTTCCTTCTGATCTTCCAAGTGTTCCTCCCGATAGGGATATTGATTTTGCTATTGATTTGGAGTCGTGCACTAAGCCTATTTCTATCCCTCCATATCGTATGGTTCCAGCAGAGTGTAAAGAACTGAAGGATCAGTTGCAGAATTTATTGAGTAAGGGTTTTATTCTCCCTAGTGTATCACCTTGGGGTGCCTTGTATTATTTGTGAAGGAGAAGGATGGGACTATGAGGATGTGTATTGATTACAGACAGTTGAACAAGGTAACGGTGAAGAATAAGTATGCTCTTCTGCGTATTGATGACTTATTTGATCAGCTATAGGGAGCATCATTGTTCTCTACAATTGACTTGAGGTCTGGGTATCATTAGTTTAAGATTAGGGCATCAGATATCCCTAAGACAACTTTTCGGACCCAGTATGGGCATTATGAGTTCCAAGTGATATCCTTCGGATTGACTAATGCCCCTGCAGCATTCATGGAGTTGATGAATGGGATGTTTCAACCATAATTTGATTCTTTTGTGATTGATTTCATCGAGGACATCTTGGTTTACTCCAAAACTGAGAGGACCATGTTTGACATTTGAGGATTGTACTTCAGAGGTTTAGAAGAGGAGTTTTATGCCAAGTTCTCAAAGTGTGAGTTCGTGTCCAAGGATGATATTAGTGTAGATCCGTCCAAGATTGCGGCAGTTAGAGGTTGGATGCAACCTACTTCACCTATTGAGATGCGGAGTTTTGTGGAATTAGCAGGATATTATTGACGATTTGTTCAGACTTTCTCTTTTATTGCAGCTCCATTGACTAGATTGACTCAATAGGATGTGGGTTTTCAATGGTCTGATGAGTGT